ATTATTTATAAATATACCAAATAATTGATTATCCCCAAACATTATGTGACTAATATACATATATGTAAGTTTGTTTGCCTCTTTAAGGTAGTTGTTGGCATGCTTATTATCAGGTAAAGATATAATATCATCCAACGTCATTCCTTTTGAAATAGCATCCTTGTATGTATTATCCTTATTTGCTCTTTTTTTCTCAAGCGTACAACCTACATAGAATAAAGCTCGGTCCAATAATGTTATTTGTGTTTCATAAACTCCCTCAACATAAGGACTGGCAAGAAGATCATCTATTTTCCTTCGAATCTTTTGATAATTCTCTTCGGGTATTTTGACCTTCCACATATTGTTACGCTCAGTTGATAATTTTGGTATTGTACAATTTGTTTTCCTCAACTCACCACCATTTCTAACAATAAAGTCATAAAACCCATTAGGAAGCCCTTGGTATGAATTGATATAGAAGACTCGTGGAACAGTCAAATGAATATCAAACATATTGTTTGCTATCAGTACCCATAATTTAAAACTGCCATGGTCAGTCTCACTCACATGAATTATATCAAAATGATCCTTATGTATTTTAAATAAAGTCTTTAATGTGTTTGGATTTTTGTTTATTGACTTTTTTTGACTTTTCTTGCTTGGTTTAGTCTTAGCCGAACTATTACTAGTGGTAGAACCATTGATAATATGACAATGTTTCTTCAACTGGTCATTAGAATCATCAACATCATCCAACTTTCGCTTAATATGAGTATTTTGAGCATTTTGAGCATTTGAAGTACTAAACAAATCTTCTATATCATCAATACTAGAACCGTCATTTTTAGGTTTGGTACCATTACTTTCAGGTACGTCACTAATATTATCGCTGTTTAAATTTGAAAAAATACGATCAATTTGTAATTGTTTTTTATTGTCCTTTGTGCCCAATCTTTTTTGTAACCATTCTGGGTGTTCAAGTGATGGTACAGGATTTTTAACTCCTTGCATTGATGCAGGGATAGTAACAAGCTTTTGTACTGCTGATCCAAAACGCTCCAAATAATAAGGCCAATCCAATATTTCCCTAACATCAAATGTTTGCATTGCAGGATCGTTAAGCCATTTTTTTAAATAGTATCTTTTAACCTCTTCTTCAGCAGAAAAAATGGACACTGGGATTGCACGTTCATTTATAGGTGCATTTTTTGGCTTAGAAGATATGATAAAATGACAAGTAAGATTTTTATCTTTAATAACCTCATTACCCAGAAATTCGGCCATACGCTTTGCCGTAGTGATTGATGTTGATTTTTGAGTACCATAATCCTGTAAAGATTGTGACATTCCACGTTTTTCACTAATACATTCAATTAAATCCGCATCTGAAAGCGTCCTACCCTTAAGTGTAATAATACTCAGAAACTCTTCAGAAACTCTTCCTACATACTCGTAGCATTCTTCTAACGATTTTCCTTTTAGAAATACAGAAAAAATACTTTCTTGATAAGTTTTCAAGATACTAATCTCACCACGCCTTTTTAGTTCAAATCCTTTCAATTCTTGCAGTTTTCCGTTTCTATTAAAGACAGCGTATCTTTTTTTTAAAAGTTTATCTTCTTCTTTGGATGCTGGTAATATCATTGCTCTGTATGGACCATCCACTTCAAAGAAAATACTATTTTCATTGTATATTTCAAATTTGTTGACAGTAGACATCTTATGGTATTGCTTGTTGGTAAATTTTTCGTGTACAAGATAGTTAAGAAGCGTACAAGGATATGAAAAGGAAAAATCACTTCCATCTGATAATTTGAAAGTAAAGTTTTCAGGAAATGGTGTTGGAAGCATACACCATATACCATCTGTATCCAATTCTAAAGGTCGGCCAATCTTTTCAATTAATTTTCTAGCTGTCTGGATGATTTCTGAACCTGTTTTGCATACAACGCCTGCCATATCCATTGAATACCAACGTGACCCTTTACGCATCACATAGCCATAAAATGAATTTAGAATGCATTTATGAGCCAATTGTAAGGAATCGTTAAAATTAATCATTCTTATAGCATCAGAGGCTTTAATAAAATCTTTCTCTCTGTATGCTTGATCAAATTGTTTTTTCCAGTATTTAGCTTGCTTCTTA